CCAGCTGCAATCGCCACACCCCGGTTTTTATACGGACACCAGCGTCTCTCGGGAGATGCAGCCCAGTATAGGAGTGGCGCAGCCGGTCGCAGTCACTGAGTAACGGTTCTACCGTTTGCGTAAGCGCTTGGGAAAGTTCATAAAGTAGTACGGACCTTTGTGTCACGATACCTTCTATACAGAGAGGTTGCTCTTCGTTGTTACACGGTGTCACTTCCTTCCTGCGCCCACGTTGGGCCTGCCATCTTTGCAGCTGGAGGCACTCCTGCTCCAGCTTGTCAATCGCATTGTAGTGCATAATGTATCATCTCTGTAGCACGGTGGGGGCAGCCTCGATGCCTAGATTTAGACGGTGTCGTTCTGCCTCCACACGGTCACGGGCCTCTTGGGCCCTGGCACGGAGGACCGCGAGGGCTGCTCTCGACGCACGATTGCGCTCCCAGGCCTTGAGGTACTCCTGTTTCAACGCGTCGACATCACTAGAGAGCGTAGTGAGTTTTGATTTGTGGATTGATCCCAGTTGCCGAATGCTCCCTTACAAAAACCGGCATATCGCACGCGTGGCCTCGTGCTTCGAGGCTGTGTTTAAAGCATTACTTTGCAAGGCCGCGACGGCTGCGCGGAGCCCTTCAACTTCATCCCGCAAATGATGCTCAGCAGCCCTTTGATGGCGCACGTCATCCTGGAGAATCTGCGGTCGGGACCGTCTACCTCGACACTCTCTCACAATGCATTCGAGATCCTTAAAATACTCAGCTGCTCCAGTGATGTGATCAGCGGAGCGAATAGACCGTGTTTGCCTACTACCCTTCACCTGCGCCGCCAGAGCGAGAGCGCCGCGCCGCTCAATCGCGTGGCTCTCATCCGCGGCGGATGGCAGCTCACTGGCTGGCTGCATTGTCGTGAAAACGCCCGTGCGGCGGTTGGCGCATAACACCTTCCCTGTTTGTGCAGACGAGATAGCTGCCCATTCATCCAGCAGCTGCGCCTCAAGCTGCTGCGCAGTTGCTTCGCTCAACATTGCCTCCCATCGAGACTCCAGCGATGGTATTGCATCCTCTGCCGGTACAGAGCAGCATGTGCGCCGAAACACCTCGCCCAGGTGAAACGTAGTTCCTCGGGACGGCGGGGAAACCGTAGATGGAAGACACGCCGCACCGCGGAATGACACAGGTATAATGTTCTGCGGCTCAATCAGTGCGGCTTCTGTCACCCGCACCACCTCCTCCACTGTGACAGGATTGATACAATTTTCACGCATGCCCTTCTGTACATCTGCCACTACGAGAAGCTCCATGTGGTTCGCCACAAGTATGTGTGGAATTCGGCGTAGGTGGACAAAATTTGGCCACCACACCTCCCAGAGATGCAGAAAGGACAATGGGTGAGCCGGGGAGAAGACGAGCGTGACGGTATCGGCCCCGATAACGAGTGCCTGTGGTGGTGCTGTCAAAACCTGGAAAGTACTGCGCAGCATCAATGTCGTTTCTTTCCCACTTGTTTCGCATGACAACTGCAGTGATATACTAGAGGAGCTCTCGCCCAGCTGCGCTAAACCTGCTGCACGTCACCGGTTGCGCATGTAATCCACCAGCGCGGCTGGTGAGGCTAGGGGGTCTCCTGCCACCACGCAAGTGATGCGTTGATGTCGCATGGTCATTCATGCACACACGCAAAGAAAGAGCGAACTACCCCTGCATCCCTACAGCATGCCCGAAATGTTAGGAAGACGTGAAAAGGAGGAGGAGAGAACAGCATACATGGCGCTTCCCTAACTCTTACGTATTAAAAAAAAATAAGTTTGTGGATTCAGCGCACAAACCGAAAACAATAATAACATAAGACAGAGACTGGGCACACAGAAACGTCTTTGAATGAATTAGTTTCTACAACGCCCCATCCCGCCCCCAACCCCCCAAACCCACCCCACGTACGCAGACTATATGTGGTTAAATTTCTATGCCGTTTTTTGTTTGACCGGTCTGTCCGTGGCGTGGTATGAGCTATCGTTGGTGCGCTATGCGAGTTGCTCGTTCACCAACGTCTCAGCTTATTCGGTTTCCAAGCGGGATATCGCGCTTGTGCAGTTGGTTCCTTTCGCATTTTGTTTAATTGCAATCCACCCACCACAGTTGGGTGACTTGCAGTGGCATTGAAAAGGTGGCACCGAATCATCCATAGAGAAGCGGTAGTCTATCGTAAGCTCCTCGCCCTTCGTGATATACCGAAGGGCAAGCATATTGAGTGAGCGATTCGGGCCAAACCCCATGTTCGGACTGCAGGAGTGTTTAAATGTGCATCCAGTGGACGTTTTAAGATCCCACGTGGCGTAGTAATGCCCATCGGCACCAACGGGCCAGGCGTTGTGCACAAACGGGTCGTAGTCCTCTGTACTCCACGCAGACAACACGTGCGGCTTTGTGTAGAGACGAACCCGTCGCCCTTCGCCCTCAAAAACGAGGGTACCTGCCGCAATGTCCTTCGCAGCGCACATGTAGTAGCCACCCACCGGGTCATACGCGCAACGAAACAGTGGCTGATTACACATGCTTCGTCGCATGGCCTCATGTATCTGCAACATCGCAAATTCCCTCTGTTTGAATTCGGGCGACAGCCGCAGGATCCAATCAGCAGAGCCTTCTTGACCATACGGGTACATGATGCCACAGTTGGGGTTAATCTCTAAAAACACAACCGTGTTGGTGGCGCGGTCGATACGCACATCGACGCGACCGTACCCCACACCCCCCATCATGTGGCGAAACGATGCCTCAGCGATGTGTATGATATCCAAAAGAGCGGGGTCGTCCGCAGGCACGACTCGCCACTCCATGCCCTCGTACGACTCCCACTTGAGGTGGAAGTGCTTAAAGTCCTCGCCCTCCGGAAACCGCACCATGACTGGGGGAAAAACGCGGATGCCACCGGGGGCTGTGGCATCAGCACACACCAGCACTGTTGCCTCGTCGCCGGGTATAAACTCTTCCACCAGTGCAGCCTGGTACTGCTCAATAAAGCGAGCCACCCGCTCCACAAGCGCATCCATGTCCTGCACTTTGCAGGACTTGTCCATGCCAACGCTGCTGTAGCCAGAGACATGCTTGATAATAAGAGGGAAGCGCAGTGAGGCGCATAATTCCTGCGCATCGTCACCCGCCTCCACAACAGCGTGCCGCGCCGTCTTGATGGCGCAGTAGTGCGCCACCCGTTTCATCTCCGGCTTTGACAGCTCGTAGTACTTGGAGATGGCGCCGGTGAAAGGAACGCCGAAGCTCTCAAGCGCCTGCACAACATCAACACCAGCCTTGTCCTCATCAATAGCNCCATCGCACTGATTGAAGAAGACATCAAAGGCGCCCGACTTTACCAGTTGTCGTATTTGACGGTACGTCGTCGCTTTCTTCACGTACACGAGAGTAAAAACGACATCCTTCGCATCCGCCTTCGTGAAGTAGTGCTGTGGTGTCTGCACAAGCTCCCCCTCATACGCCTTCAGCTCGCTGTCGGAGCCCTCGTACGAGCACACCAACACGCACACACGAATGGGCGCACTTGGCATTGATGCACAGACACAATCGGGCGCGGGCCACACACGTTCGCTCTCTCTCCCCTCCTTCCCGCCTTCGATCTCCCCTCGTTGCAGCAAAGAAGAGGGTCTAACAAAGCCAAGTCAAAGAGCACAGGAAACAAAGGAAAAAGAAAAATAGCAATCATAGGCACAAAGCAAACATCATGACAACGAAAGAAAAAGACTTGCTCCAGCACACTGTGGAGGCACCACACTTACTTAAAACCGTTTGCCGCTTCACTTTGCACTGGACCTGTGGCGTGGATGGCAGCAACACACAGAGAAAACAGCACAGCCCTAGTCGCGTGGAGGGTCGACCTCCTCCTTCGGCTGCTGTGCGTCGTGCTCGCTGAGGACATCTGCCCGCGTGAAGACGACGCCGCCTGCGCACATTGGCAGCACCACATGCCGAACCAGCCACACTGTCATGAAGGCAAACACCGCGAATGGGATGACGTACTCACGCAGCACGAAGACAGCAGTCCCCTCGCCGGGTATCCTATCAGGAGCCATTGGCGCTATCACCCTGCGCACACCGCTCACGGCTGTGTAGCAACATGTCCACGCATATGCGCAAGCCAAGCCAAAACAAAAAAAGAATTGTACAAACAAACAAAAGAAGAAGAAAAAAAAGTGTAGGAGAATATAGAAAGGCACAACCGCGGTTGCAGTTCAAATCACCACAGACGGCATTATAAACCACTCCGCCAGTCATCCACCAGTGCATTTGTCAGCTCGACTCTGTGCGTGCGTGCATATGTCTCTCTACTCTTACGACCGCGTCAAGCTGCCTTTGCCGGTGGGCACACAGCACACGTGGCACAGAGGCGTACTTTCCACTACGCCTTCCCCTAGTCACACCGAGAAGCTAGTTGTTTCCTTCGCGTTTCTTTTTCTTCTTGTTTTTTTTTTTTTGCTTCTCACCTGAAATCCCCCACTCAAAACCCAATAATAATTTTAAAAAAATTTTTTTTTTTCGTCATCATCTCTCCAGTTTTCTTTTTGTTTGTTTTCTTGGTTTTCTTCATCATCTTCATCTTCCGCGTCCTCGTCACCTTACAGTTGCCCCGCTTTGCAGGCGTTCTATTTTACTCCTCAATAACGACACGGAAATGCGTCGAGCTGTTCTTGACCGCCGTCGGCTTCACCACGACTTCGCGCAGCTTCGGGTTCTTCACCAAGGCATCATGTGCCTCCTTGATCACCCACGCCCGCAGCGGCATACCGTCCTCCTCCGGTGTGTCGTTCACCTTGCCCATGCAATTCAGGAGGTATTCATCGCTCGCGTAGTCCTCGCTCGTGATTTTGTTGAGCGGGAAGTTCACTTCAATGATCGCCGGCGCCATTGTTGTGTGACAGTGTATGAACAAAACAAGTAATCAAATAATGTATGGTCTATGCGTGTGTGTGTGTG